ACACAGTTTACACAAAGGACCAGCCTGACCCCACTCCAAGAAAAAACCCTAAAAACATTTGCCCCACAAGGCCAGCAGTTGTAAGAGATTTCCATGTATAAAATAAGCTGTATAAGTGCTCATTCTTTCAGACTTCGGAGGCTTTACTTCTCCATGAAGAAAACACATCAGTGGGATTTAGAGCAACAGAGAATCTAGACATCAGTCACTCTAACCTTCTTTTTTCTCAGACAGGAAATGTGGAAGCAGAGACGCTTTTAGCCATTTTCCCAATTTTACACAGTCAGTTCCTGACACAGGTGTAGTGACATTCCACTGGTGTTGGAGAGGTGGCTCAGCAGCTAAGAGCATTGCGGCTCTTACAGAGGACCCCCAGCACCTACATGGTGGCTCACAACCATCTACAATGCAAGCTCCAGAGGATCTGATGCCCTCTCTTAACTTCCACAGGGACGCGGGTGGTCACAAACATACTTCAGTCCAAAAATTCATACACATAAAATAAAAATCTAAACAAGAAAGCTAAATTTAAACCATTAGTTAGTTGGATTTGACCCCATACACTCAACTTTTTTTAGTTGAAAAAAGGCTAGGTCGCTGTTTAAAAACTCTATTCCACACCCTTCCTTCACTGGGGTGGATGTAAAAACCCAAAACACTCTGAAAAAAAATGATATTTTTAAAAACTACATCCCTTCCAAAACACATCAGACGTGTTGATCCCACTGCCACAAGAGGAAGTGTAAGAGCAGCTGCTCCCTTCACCCCGGTTTCAATCTTCACTTCTCTCAAGGTTACCTTTCATCTGTATTAACTGTGTTTGCTTAATAGAGCAAGACAAAGTCTAACCACTGCTGGCAGGGCCACGGCTGCCACTGTTCCACTGCTCGCCACAGACCATGGTTCACAGCCTCCTGACTACAGCAGTGCACGGTTGCAGAATAAGCCCAACACAGGCCATGTTTGCCACACTGTGCATCTTGGTTAGCTAGGAATTGATTTCCGTGTCCTATAGGAGAAGAGGTGAACTCTCTCTCTCTCTCTCTCTCTCTTCTCTCTCTCTCTCTCTCTCTCTCTCTCCACCTGGATGGATCTCTCCTGTTTTCATATGGAATCTGCTTCCTTGAATGTTGCTTTTGGCTTTGTTGTTTTTCATTTTTAAAAGGAGAGTGACCTGGAACTGGTGCCTTCTTCTCTGTCATCCCAGCTGTGGGTGACATCCCACCAAAGCTTGAGTGCACTTCAGTTTGCATGTAGGCGTTTAAAAGAACCTCAACGGAAAACTTCTTCTACTGAGAACCAAACGCAGCAGATTGA